AAATTAAAATATGTTTTACAAAAATAATAATTCAATTAAAAATATTTTTATATTTTTTAAAACGGAGTAAAATATCTTTTCACATTAAAACAAACAAAACATATTTTTTTTATATTTTTTCACGAAAAAAAAATGTGTGAAACAAAACATATTTAACCATAAGGGTAGTGTCTGATTGATTTAAACTTGAGCTCCAAACGTCAAAAGTGTCTGGAGGTCTCAGATTCGAACCCAAAGAGAAATAAAAAACCGTGGTGGCTACGGAGGTTCAAATGGGATGACTTCAAACTACTCGCAAAACAGACGATCGTCATGAAATTAGTCGACTCACGTAACGTTTTAGATATCTAGATTAATAAAAAAACATATTTTAACATACGTTTTATGCATGATATTGAAAAACACTATTTAGTACTCGATGGTGATGTAGCACTACAATCGTGCAAGTGAAATTTGGTGTCTCGTTTCAAAAAGTAGACATTTTCTAATAGACTTGTTAAATATACATTTAAAAAAATAAATATTTAATAAAAAATAAGTTGTTTTTTAAGGACAAATTGTATGAAAAAATAACGTATCTTAACTTGATTTTTATTTTGAGCAACGTACTTTTAAAACTTCTATTTTGGTATCTAAGATATAAAATTTTAAACATTTAAATATCCCGATAACCGGTTGAAGCATTAACATGTTATCATTTGTGTAAATCCATAAAAGATTTGTGTAAAAAACAGATTATTTTAGAAAAAAAATCTTAAAAATAGCTAAAATGAATTTGATTAATGAAACTGTTTATTTCAATTAAATTTCTGATTGTATTTCATATAAAATTGATTGATAAAAACAAGAGTGATGCTTGATTGGTTTGAATATGGGCTCCAAATGACAAAAGTATATGAAGATCCCAAGTTTGAATCTAAGGAGAAATATTCTTTTTTAGCCACAAAAGTTCAAATGCAATAACTCTAGATGATTACTAGAAGCGTACTTGTGCAATGCAGCGAGATACATCGTGATTTTAATATTTCATTTTATTCTTTATCTCAGTCGATGTTATAATATGACTTTATGTGATTTTGAGAAA